AGTAGTAGTAGTAGTAGTAGTAGTAGTAGTAGTAGTAGTAGTAGTAGCAGAGGCAGTAGCAGTAGCAGTAGCAGTAGCAGTAGCAGCAGCAGCAGCAGTAGTAGTAGTAGTAGACGTAGAAATGGAGCGAACACACACACACATATATATATATATGATATCCCAGTGGCTCGTGCAGATCATTGTAACGCTTCACTGCAGAGACCAGCGCCACCAAGACTTTCAGCTTCTGGGTCACCGCCTGGGCGCACCCAATCGGGGCAAAAACAACCCGAGATTTCAAGGGCATCCACAACATCAACCACAGGGCAGTGGAGCACCTGTCCGGCCTCAGAGTTAGAGTTTTCTAGTGTTTATCGGGGTCTGTCTGTGACTGTGATGCAGATGGTATTCTCATGTATTCTCTGCCGTTCCCCTGCTGAAGCTTGCCGGCCAAAATATGAAACTGAATTTGTGCGCTGGTAGAGCCACCAAGTTTGTCATCCAGGTGAAATCCACCCGGAAAGTGCCTGACGTTTGACTTGCAGTGTATCCCACAGTATCCGATTCCCTTTCTGTTCCTGGTGACCAGCCCACCCATCAGCCCAAGTGCAACAAACCCATGCCCCTTTGTTCAACTCAGCCGCCCATACTGGGACTGTGATAGTGCCTTTCTTGATCCCATCCATGATGGAGGCAGTCACAAACTCCTCAAAAACGAAAAGTCACAGTCACCGGACAAAGCCCAAAGCCCAAAGCCATAATCATGTGAGGTTGTCAGTTGTCAACCCAAAAAAGAACGATACCTTTCCCTATACCACGTTTGGCCTTATGGTTGATTTTCTTTTACCCTGCTTTGACTAGCTGCAACATCACTTGTGCAGATTCATGCGCAATGCCTGGAACTGGCAAACATGGCCCAAACTAGCCAGCTTGCGAGTGTACGGGAAGGTTCTTTAGGCTCGCTTCGTTATCGTTGGTGGTGTCGTTGCGTTATTGCTTTCGTTTCTGGTACTAACATGGATGTCTATGCACGAACAAAAATACTGCAACACAACACTCCTCGTTGTCTTTGAAGTGAAGGCAAACCGGAGATGAAACACATATGTATGAAGAGGCACATGGGTTATCGCTTTATGTTCTTCCTTGTCCTTTACGGAGGATGGAGCATCCTTCTGGCAAAACAAAAAATCCGAAGACTATATAAATTTGTGTGGCGGGATTATACTCTCTCACGTTGACTCCAGCTGCAAAAGTGTGTGCGTGTGTCTTTGTATCTGACCGGAAACAGCTCTCTTCACAGAGCAAAGATATTGAACGATTTATGTACATGTGCAATATGTTCTGGACCTCTTCGATTTACAAAAGCTCTCTGGTCATGCTTAGTCTCCCTGCATGAAGGTGACTCACACGAGCGCACAGTGCCAACAACATTTAGCCGGAATTGGCAGGTTTGTGATTTCGGCGATGATTGATGAGTTCCATTGGATGCTAACAGAGTAGGCAGAACGCATGCAATGCACATGGAACGCATACCAGCGCAATGGAAGCTAATTAGTGAGAGATCAAACAAGTTGCAAAATGTTGCGTCTCAAGAGTGAAAAGAAATAGAACAAAATCTGACAATCCGACCATGGGCCGTGAAAGGTCCAATTTGGGTTCCTATACTTGCCCTGTCCTTTCATGTCTGCTTCTCCACAGTCAGCTCACAATGAGCCTGTGAAGCTGTGAAATTCCTCTTTAGGTATCCGTAGGCTTCCTATTTTCACTCCTGCATCGTCTGCGAGTGGTATTGATCCTTCGCATAGTGGGAGAACATGGCACGGCCCTCGGGTGCCACCTGAGGCGATACGGACGTCCCAGCACCGTCCAGGCGTCACTTGGCACCATCGTTCGAACTGCTTCAGACCAGTGTCACTCGGTCACACTCTTGTTTTGTGCCGGTCCTCATCTTTCATAAAGAACTCAATAAGGTGCTGTTGAACAAATCAATTATTCTGTCTGGCAGTGTGGAAGAATCCACTTGAAAGCCCTTGGAACACAGGTGAGGTTGTGGTTTCTCCCCTCAGGTTGAATTGGGTCTTCATCTGGTCTGGACCACATTGTCATAGTCCCGAGTCCCTTGGCATCCCTTGGCTACATCTGTTTTGGTGGACGACAGCCCACCAGGACTCTAGACCCAGACTCATAGAGACGCATTGTTTATCTGCAAATTGTTTGGTTTGCAAGGGTTTGCAGCTCCTACCGGACAGTGAGTTGACTAGTCAGCTGTCATTGTTTTTGTGTAGTGTACCATGATAGTTAGGTGCTGGAACAAAAAGATCCAGGGTCATGCATGTTGGTTTGTACCCCGGGGTTTGCCATTCAAACAAACAAAGACCATTCCGAGTATGATCTGCTCTCGTAACTCCGCCAGGCAGCAATCTGGGTCAAGCCATACTCGTCCACCAAATCCCTGATGGTGTGATAGCCATTGTGAAGGAAGCAGGTCCCCATCTCATGTGCCACGCAGGAGGTTGTGTCCACCTTCCCTGTCTCTGGATCCTGGAGTCAAACATGATTGAATGGATGTGTTTTATCAAACGCAACTCTTGTAATTGAAAAGACATGACGATGTTGTCTGTAGCGGAAGAAGGGAAACAAGTTACCTCCTGCTTCTGTCTCCACAAATGCGGAAATGTACAGCTGGTCAATGCACAGGTTTGACACACCCAGAATTGAGACAAACATGCAAACATAGTAACATAGACAAGCCCATCTTTACACTGGATGAAAAAGATTCCAAGTAAGGAACTCGGCGACCCTTTTCCCCTTCTCCTGTTTCTGGACACATTCCCCTGTCTCGTTGAGGTAGATCGTCAGAGACTTCCCACCCACACGGTCGCTGCGTTCCAACAGCGTCGTCTGGGTATAGCCCAATTGCTTCAATCGGCTTGCCATGTGGACTCCGCCGGGACCCGCGCCCACAATGGCAATACGATCACTCTTCCTGAAACCGATGGCAGTTGTGAAGTGGTGTTCCCGCCCCCCAGGGCACCCTTGTCCTGAAGTGCACAACCCAACCTAATCCCTCAAGTCCTATTTTGATGCATCCTGACGTCAGTGTCCAGGCATCAAGATAAAGTGAAGCAAGAAAACTTGCCTTTTCTTCCCGGCCCGACTTACTGCCCCTGAAGCCCCGAAAGCTTCAGCATCTAGGAAAAGAAATTGGTTCCAGCCCGATCTAAGACCACCTGCAGGCAAGCGCACCTTTTTGTCACGCTTGAGCCAAAGTTGCCTGTCCGCTCATGTCAGCAAGCCGAACACAGTGACGGCAAGGTTGCGAAACTCGATTCCCGGCTCGGAGCCCTTGAGGCCTCGGATGGCGGTGCAAGCGAACGCAGCATTTCAGGCTTCCCCTATTCAGTTGTAGTGGAAGGTTAGTGAAGCCTGAAAATATTCTTCTCCCCCTTTTGGTGTCGAACACTTGCATTGTGCCAAGGCATAGTGATCGAAACGCAGCCTCAGGAAGATTCACTCTGAGCGCCTAGCTTGCGGCTGAAGTGGATGTTCAATTGCTTTGAAGTATCCTTCCACTTTGCAACAGGAAGTGCCTTAGTAAATGGATCAGCGCGCTGCAAGGCAGTTTTGATATTCAAGAGTTTGGCAAGTTCGTTCTCCTTGAAGCACTCACTGGTCGGGCTCGAGGAAGGACGAAACGGCGATGGCCTAAGGGCAGCACGTAGCTGAGCTACGGCTGATAACCAAAAGAAGTTAGTTCCGGCTCCAGCCCGATCTAAGACCACCTGCAGGCAAGCGCACCTTTTTGTCACGCTTGAGCCAAAGTTGCCTGTCCGCTCATGTCAGCAAGCCGAACACAGTGACGGCAAGGTTGCGAAACTCGATTCCCGGCTCGGAACCCTTGAGGCCTCTGGATGGCGGTGCGTAGACGCATCACGCCGAAGGCACTCGTGTCCTACACTTCCCCCATTGAGTCTAGGTTTCAAAAAAATACATTAAAACCTAGTAGCCTAGAAGTATTAAACACAAAGGGTACATTGACATATCACAAGACATATCATAAATTCAAAACCAAAAGCGGAAGCAAACATGGCACGACGCGGCTTCTACTGACATCTACAATCCTCTCAAGAGATTTCTGTGTCACTTTACAGGGAATCTTGAAACTGGGCAGGCACATGCAAGATGAGGGAAAGGAGAGGGGGCAGGGAAGCCAATGGGTCGAGTCAAAACATGAAAAACAAAAAAAACAGTTACTCTACAGAGCATCAGACATCATGGTGCCTGCAAAATCACAGCGGAATCTCCATCAATCAGTTGTTCTAAAGCTGCTTATATATATATATACCGGTATATGTGTATAATAAATATATATATATATTGGTTGACCCGCCCGCCGCCCCCATTTTTGGATGAAATGGGCACCGTCATCAAAAACACTACTTGGGGTCTCCTTTGAGAAAGTATATAAGGCTTCTTCTGCCAAGTCTCTTGAAAGGCCCCGCACGGGCTTCGTGTAGCTGCAAATGATCTGAACCTGCAATTCGTGCTGCCAAGGCCAGGTGGTTGTGCAGCAGCCATGCGAAAAGGAATTCCACAACCCGCGGCATCCCGCTAAAGAACTATTTCGCACTCAACGTGCACGTCACTTACAACACGAGGAAGCGAAGCAGCCGCTTCGCCAGAGCTTGGGCCGCAAGTGTCCCAGTAGATGTATCGTCAATTCAGTACACAGGCGAGGTGGCTACTGAGCTGCTTAATGTCCCAACCTCTGTGTTGCCATGTTTCCGACAGACTCTAGACAAAAATATACTGCCAACAACACTGGAACCCTGCAACCGGGAAATCCGTTGGAACAAGAGTGACATCCCACCGCGGACGTAAGAGGGCCCAGTGAGACCGCCAGTTGTTCTGCAATCTCTCCCCTCCAAGGCAAGAAGTCCCCCCGGCTCGCCAGGCTTCGTAAGCATCCACAAGATCATTCAATCAATGTTTGTTTGTTGTGCAATGAAACGTTCCATCTTCCTTGGTGCTGCCGATTGCTACCAGCCGATTGCTACCAGTCGTTCATTCATTTTCGTCTCTTGCGCTGCCGTCATGTAGCAGCGCTGACCTCAGGAGGGCAACCCCTCCCGTCCCTCTTGTTTCAAGATTCACGGCTTGTGGGGCCATACAGGCCTATGCTTGGAACTGGACAAGTTCATTTGTCAGGCTTGAGAGGAAGTACCAGGTAGACCCAGTAGACACTTGCAGCCGGATAGCAACTGATAAATGTGCTAACACAAGCTTTAAAAACCCCCAAGAATCCACTGTGAAACCCTACCGAAGGCCCACAACGCCAGCAAGGCATCCAAACTCGTCTAGGCAGGGACCTTGGGATGGGCACCACGAGCAAATCCTCCAGATCGACGTGAAAACATGTGAAAACTGATCTAAAAGAAATTAAGAGCTTCAAAACATCCACACCTATCCAAATGTGCGGTTTTTCAGTTAACTGCTCATCTACCTGGACATTCTCTACACTCCACACCATTTGAAACTCACCATAAAAGGACCTTATCTGCAACTGGGATTGAAAAAGTATAAATATGTATAAATATGTTTTTAAAAATACGCTTCATCTGAAAAATACATGTCCTCTTTTCAACTGGTGTTTCCAACGGAATGGAAGAGGGACCCAAGGGTCCCAACCGGAGCAGGCAACGGAGCCGGCGCAGGCGCTGCACTTGGCGTTTGGCCTCAAGCCAGGTCCGGTTCAGTCAGATCGAGCTGCAAGTGAAGATTTGAGGACTGAAACTGGAACATCAAAAAACTGCCTACATTTAAGAGCCCATCATTCCTTTGAGTGGATTGAGGATCATCCGCAGTTTTCCTTTCATCCAACAGCACCAGCTCTTACATGGTAGAATGCGCAGGCAACCTCTCTGACATCTAAGGCGCCAGCTCGAGGGCAAGCTCTTTCTGAACTCCTGAGTTTGCTCACCCAGATCTTTCGCAACTAGCAATGAATGAAAACGGGCACATTTATTATCTGCTAGTTCCCCTGCAGCAGAGCAGTGGTGACAGCTCACCAACAGTGGTTGTTCACCACCAAGTATGCCATAAAGTTAGCACAATTCTTGTTCCAAGATGTTCCAAGCTCTTTGCTATGAGAGGTCACCTAAGCCCCCCACATTCTCACCGCCTGTCCCGAGATCCGCTCGCCAAAGCCGTCCAGCCCTGCCCCCGTCGCCCCCGGACTGTCCTCGTACTCCTCTGGTAGCTCAGAGTCCGACTCGAAGAAGAGGTAGGACAAGGTGATGCGATCCACGTGGTCAAAACGCCTGAGGCCGCATCCATGATCCAAGTGACCCAACGGTGACCCGGACATGGAGGATCTGGGTTTTCAAGCGAAATACAATCTCCAATCTCCCAACGGGACGTGGATGCAGATCGCACGAAACTTCAGGACCACTACCACCAAGCAGAGAGAGACACATGGATGTCACGTCTGCTGAGTGATCCGTCGATGGCTTAAAAGAGGCTCCAAGTACTCAAGCACAAGTGAAGCATGAGATCTCAAACAAACTTCCATTGTGGTTGAGCGAGAAAAAAATAAACATATATATATATATATATGTGTGCTTCTACTCCCCAGTCTAAACGACTGAGGAAGAAAGTCCTGAATAACAACCTCCAATAATGTAGGGAGCACTGTATCTGAGATCGGCCATGTCGAGATCCCTAGCACCATAGGGCCTCCAGCGCGAGCACATCTGACGGTGCATTCACAAATCTTGAGTTCGGCACGTATCTTTTCCCATCATGGGATCCTTAGCAAAGCTGTTTGTGGCCAGCTAGGGTTGCAAAATGGATGACCTCCCAGTACTCAGCTGCTTCTTAACCGATACTGTACCCAGGAAGTCCCCTGGGAAGTCCAAGATTCTTGGGATTGTTCGACTAAAGTAGCAAGCAAGGGTTCGTAACTTGCAAGCAGCACTGTCTGCGCTTCTTCTGCACAGAGCATTCGTCTCGATGGCTGGTTTTGCAAAGCTGAAAGTCTAATCGACGTGCCAAGACGCGATGAAGAAAAAGATTGGCAAATCCACCTCTTCACCTGAAAAAATATCCGCGACGCATTTGTCTGAAGAAAACCAACCTGTTTAGTTCAAACATCGCTCAGATATCTCAAATGCTTGAGCCATCTTCATGTCCCATGATTGCCATATCTGCATCAACATAACAAATGCTCAAAGTCTCCTCTATGCCTGGATTGATCAGCTGCTCGTCAAAGCAGAAGCATTGGATCCTCAGGGGGCAAGCACTTGCACAGTTTGCCCGGGAAGAGGGGCCGAAGTGAAGTGTCCTCCCACAAATCAACTCCAGTACTTCCATTCACATCTCCTCAGGATCATTTGGGTGGAAAACTAAAGAAGTGGTAAACAACCATATACAGAACACCGAACACCGTCTCTTCACAAGGGGAGCTTTGACTATATGAAGGCATTCCACATAAACCATCATAAACCCATATATTTATTCCAGAAATTGTTCTCATGTCAGCAGCAAGTGCACCACCTCTAGTGACGCATGTTGGCACTGCTGGAAGTGGTTGTGGTGTAAATAACAGATTAGTGTCAATGCAAAAAAGTAATGGCCAACAGAAAAAGTCGGCCTGGGAGTAGCTGCTGGGCATGCGTCGTAAAAGAGGATGGGATGTCACAGTCTTGTGGGAGTCTGCCAAGACACTTGTTGAAATAGAGGCCGGCCTGTGAACGCTAGTGTCTGGAAGACCGTTAATTTCACCCTGCTGTAAATATGATCCTTCCTTGGGTCCAAAGACTGTCCAAGACGGGTCTGCTGTCTTGACAAAACACTTTTTGTTGAACCTCTTGAGCCAGTGTGAAGCAAGTGTGGAGCAAGTCCTCATTAAACAGGCAAGTCCTCATTTTAAATCATTTGGAAATAGGTGAGCACAAGCGCGTGTTCACCTTTAGAACCAGAACTCGCTTGCGCACGGGATGGGGGTGAACCTGGCAATCTGAATCTGGAAGGCTTAGCAAATATGTCAGGTTCAACTAACCAGGGTCTTGAGCAACATCCCGTTCATAAACATCATAAATGCTCTGTGAACACAAAGCTGTCATTCAATGAAGCGAAGCGGCGATAAATAAAAGTGCGTCACTTGACTTCCAGCAATGTAGCGAATCGGCACGCACCAAATTACGCTGCAAAAGATTGTCCTCTACAGGACAAGCTCCTTTAAGGAACACAAAACCAAACCACTAAAGCGACGTTCATTGGGTGTGCGAGAGAATCCGCAAAAAAACTTCGGCAAAACCTACATCAACCATACAGTTTGGATGTCCAGATGTCTTGTCCATTCGCACTTGATTCAAGAATGCCCAAGTCTTGGCCTCTGCAGGAATCATGTGGTACACAGAGACTCCGATGATGGGTCGGTCGCTGGTATTCCTCAGGACATGAATGACCACCACACGGGTGCACAAGATCTTGGAAGAGGAATGGTCAACATGAGGACATTGTCAATAAATCTATACATATCTCTATAAACATATATACATACTTAGGATTCCCAATCACAGCTGAGAGGTCCCGGGTTGGTTTGTCGTTGGATCAGAGTCTCGAGTTGAGCAACATGTGGTGAGGCCAGATTCCAGACTCAGATGTTAAGACAAACCCGGCTTGTTGATGTCCAGCATGTTCGGAGCTTCTATTTGGTGTCCAGCATGTTGAGGCTTCCGGCTTGGCACGATAGAACGCCAGCGCTGTCTCCTGGAGCATTGGAGACACACCCCTCTTTGGTCCATCCAGCGGACGTTCTCTTTTGGGAAGTGGACAAGGTGAAGGGATACTTTGATGCCTCTGAAATGCATCTAGCCTCTAGACAGGTCATTCTCCCTACCAGTACATGGAGCGTCTATGAATTGGGTGACTTGGGCAGAAATCCTGGCCTAGAACCCCGAAGAAACCAGAGCGATTCCCACGTTCCGCTGGGCTCCCCAAGGCCAACGACTACGCGTCGCTGTTGGGGTACAAATTCCCAGGGCAAGGAAGTGTGTACCTCCCGAAAGCGAAATGATACAACACAAAACATGTCAGGGACAACACCTCCTTCTAGCAACGTTTTTGCGCCAACACACTAGTTCTGGAGGATAAATGGTGACGACAATGCTGGTGACGACAATACTCGTCAGTCACAGCACAGACCTTAGAGACCTCAGAGACCTTAGAACCTTAGAACTTCGAAAAGCTGTTTGTTTGACCTTCTTTGCTGAAGGAGGCAAAAGCGCACACTGATTTCTGAACGGTTGCTGCATTCTTCTCTTCATCTCTGCATGGACAGCAGAGAAGAGCTTGGAAAGATCATGACTTGATGGGGGAACTCTTGTGGATTCCATGATGGATCCGCCTCCTCGACTTTTTGGCATCGGCCAAACGGACACCACAGTCTCTATGTGGATTGCAAGATGTCCGCTGCGAAAATGTCAACCAGAGACTCTTCATTCCCGATGTCCGCTGCGAAACATTGGGCACGGTGGCCGCAAAGTCCACGGTGACTAGGCGCTTGGTGTCGACCGAATCCTATGACGCGGGTGTGAAGCGGGTGATAGCAGGTGCAAACGACTTGGGTGTCATCCAAAGAAACAGACTTGTCATGAGTCATGGCTCGTCCTCTCCTGCACCAGTGGTCGGAAAAGGCTTAAAAGAATGTCATATCTGCTAGGCAGTATCGAACGTATTTCACTGGAAATCTGTTGGAAATGGTGGATCCCCAACAGCACACTTAGTCTCAATAAGACTCCTCGACCGAAGAAGTGAAGTTGGATCTGTCTCTACATCTTCCCACCTACCCCATGGACACGGATAGCTTACTGTAGGTGATTGAAAGATGAACTCCTCAATCGGAGCAGGGCAAGCTGATGGCCATTGCGGATGGCCATGCTTGGACAGTTCTTCCCGTGTGTAGATGAGGGTTCGGTCAAGCCATTGAATGAACTCATTGCATTCCCAACAAGTATATAAATCCGCAGTAAATCTCAAGAGCATTGCAGCCTCGTACAGGTATGCGGCGGTATGCGCCAGTGTTGTCAAAATCCCCTACCCGCATCACTTTGCGCTTTCAAACAGGGCAAATCTGGAAAACTATATTCTGGAACGCCTAGCTGCTAGGGCCTAGCTACAAACCAAAAAGCTGGCTCGGGTTACAAAAATTGTAGACACTCAAAAATTCAGCGAGTGACCCCAAGAAACCATGGCATTCCTATGATCACCTGCCAGCTCTCATATCCAGCCCAATCTTCTGATGTCGGTGTCAGCTTCCCCGTCAGAGCCCCGGAAACACGCCCTACCGAGCGAAGAACCTCTCACCTTGGGAGGCGGCGCATAATCTTTGTGCCCCAACTGCGTGGCCGAGGCCTGACCGCGACACGACAGCCACATGCCGGAGTTTCCGGTAAACGTGCTGGTCGAGCCACGTGGCGGTCCAAGAATCCTGACTGGCAAAGGGTCCGGTTGGTGCCCACATCTTCTTCTCTTGTGCACTCAGTCTATTGCGCCCATGGCAAGCATCTTCAGACTCACCGCAACAACGAAAGAATCTCCCACACATCAGTTTTGCGATAGAAGCAAAGAAGGGACCAAATAAATCAGAAGGGACCATAGAGGATTGTAGGCACGTGTGCCAGGTGCGGCTGATGAAGCTGAGACTGAGATGAAAATAGACGAAATGGATACGGCCCACTTTAAGTACAATTACAACACTGCTAGGATCAAAGTTTAAGAAGTTTAAGACAGCTTTCCAAATGCTGGCAGTCCCAGGGGTCAGCGCTGATCATCCGAGAGCCCCACCTGGCCCTGGCCAGTGGCTTGGCAGTAAAGCTTGTACAGCCTGTCGATTTCGCACACGGCCAGTGCGTTGCTCCACTCGGCTCAGTTTCTGTAGCGAATCAAAAGAAAGACTGAAGAACCTGCCCAAACGCCAAACAATGAGAGCCCGAATCCAAAGTGGGAACAGGAAGCACGTTAACCTCTCTGAGAACCTGTGCTGGGGGCGATCCGCATGACAGTGATCCAGCTTTTGACAAGGCTGCGGATCTTCAGAAAAGAAAGACTGAAATGCAAAGAGTACCGGGTAGAAGCTACTAGGTGGAGGGCCATCTTATTAGGTTGGAGGCCATCGCTACGAATGTAACAATAATAAAGCTAATCTGAGACGAGTGGCGGGACCAGCGCAAAGACGCAGGCAAAGATGGACATGCCAATGGCACCATACCACCAGGTCTCAGGGCTCGGTGAATAGAGTCGAACCAGGTGCCGAGAGAGGAACGGGTCCAGGTGTTGCCAAGAGAGAAATGCCACATCAAAACTTTGGCATGAGTCCCACTTCAACTGCAACTCACCCAAAGAAAATCGTAAAACAATTGAAGATTGTCACAAGTGACACCCTTTATATAACCAGTCTGATCAAACGAAGCTTCCACCCCCCAACCTTTTGATGTTCGGTCCAACACTCCAAGGTTCGAAGAACCTGTCTACCCCACCGGCTTGTCACTCAAGAACACACGAACACACAACTGAGGGTTCCTCACCAAAAGAACACAGGAGAGGGCATTGTCCGACATTCTGCGGCACAGTTTAGACACCTCAAGCGAACCACGCCCTTGAGGTCCCACGCCCCACGGTAACTATCTTCCATTCGCTTCCGTTCACCGCGAGACATTGGCCTTGGCGACAAATTCCAGATTTCACCCATCCGTCGACTTGTGAAGTTTGTAGAGTCTCATTCGAAAAGTCTCCTCACAAGTGCCACAGCAACCCGTGTGACTTGCACAGGGACTGTTGAGACCTGGACACGTTGGAAGGACTGCTCCAAAAACAGCGGCTTGTACGTGGAGGCCTACATGGCACAAGCAAAGGCAACCTTTGAGACTCTATGAGGTCCTTTGAGTATCAGACCAGCAAATGCTTGGAACAACAAGTGCAGAAGAAGCTAGTCAAAAGGGCAACAATCAATCCACGGGAATGCTCACATCAAGTGGTAACATGGGAGAACTGGGGCATGTAATCCACCCTCAAGCTGAAATTGTCTCAATCATGGGTCCGTGAGGGGTTTGCCTGGGGGCCTGGGCGCAAAAATAGTAAAAAAGAAAACCTAAGAGCTGTTCCTCTGCGAAGCCAGGTAAATCATCTTGTCACAAAACACCCTTACGACCTAGAAGACCACCGATGCCAGCCTGTATCTGCATAGTGAGCTGTCCCAGACTGAGCAAAATCAGAAGCAATCCAAGCAGGCAGGTTGATATGATGTTGACATGAGCTCTAGAACATGCTCTCTAATTCCTAGAAGCCTACTTAACCACACAAACTTGTTTTATAAGTTATATACAGTATATAATGCTATTGTTACTTCATGCTCAGGTGCAGAAGGCTGTGGGCAAGCTCCGGTAGCTGGAAGACTTGTCCCGATTGGGCTATACGACATGCACGCATTAAAAGATCTTCTGCTGGGCTGGGTGGAGAAGAGTCTTCTTGAAAGCGTTTGGCACACTCCAAGAAGAGTGAATGTACAGTACAGTAGCAATAGTATCTAATAATCTAAGAATAGAAATAGTAGCAACAATAATAGCAATAGCAACAATAAGTGTAATTCAAAAAAACAGATGCCCACCTGGTACACGTACCACATGCAGTGCACGTTGAGACACAGCGCTCAGCTGCGTTCTCCTACATGGATAAGCCAATCTACAAAAACGTGCTTCACGCCACAAGTTTGCTCAGAAGTAAAAGGAGCCTATGGGCCTATGTGTTACATGTTTTGGCTCGACTGAATGGTCAGCTTTGTGCGTATTTGGACTCGGACATTGCGGGGCTCCAGCACATGTCCACTGCTTGCAAGCTTGTGTTGCTTCAAAGACGCTAGGAATACATCCCTCTCCACAAAAGCTGTTGGTCGAATCGGCCAGAACTGACAGAGCAAAATGATGCGGCTCCTTTGGACTTCCACCAAGCGCCGCAACAGGAAAGCGCGCGACTGCATGGCTGTCGGAAGCAAGTGGTTGTCGACACTAAGTCATGGCTTCCTTTGCCGCGATGTCTGGAACTCTCTTTCAGCTTGGTGTGGTGGTAAGCAAGGTGAAATTTGCTCACGCTGCAAGCATTAACTGTAAGTCTGCCTCTGCTGCTGCAAGCGAGACTTTTCAGTATAAGGTGAGGATAGGCACTAGTTGCAATCCATAATACGCTGTCGATTGAGGCCTCATCAAGAGTGTTGTTCGTCATCTACCTCCAAAAAGCGGCCAATTGATCCTCTGCTGACATGACACTTTTCTGGTCTTCAAGGCATTGAAGCTCCAATGGAAAATCAATAGTTAATTATATAACTGGCGCATGAGGAAAGCTTACCTATTACTATAGCCCAAACATTAAAAAAAACAAACAGGGACACAAAGGCACGGCTGTATGTCGCACAATGCACTGTTGCAAAATCTACCAACCGCATTCCACAACATGTGCAGCGGTAGCATGCGGTAGCGGCACGTCATGCCTTGGACAAGAATGTCACCGATGAAAATCGGGGAACAGAAAGAGCCCCTTTTACTCTGATGTCAGTATATGATTTTCTGGCAGGTGGGATCCGAACACAGCACCAGCTGTTAAATCAGGGTCACTCTTCGCTACTCCACAAATAAAGATTTCATGACAGCATGGACCACAACTTCGGCATTTGGACAAGGGAAACAAAACATCCAAGAGCGTAGAAAGCAAACGAATCCCTTTTGTCGCCACATGCATTGATGAGCTCTTATCTGGACCAAGAAATCCCCTTGCAATGTGTCGTGGAAGTCCAAATTTGTCTACATCCGTCTCTGCAGTTCATTCTCTTTCTGATTCTGATTCTTGGCACAGGAGCTCCAGCACTGTACATAAAGTAAACGCGAACGCTGGTGGGTCGAGGAAAAATGGACGGGTAACACTCATGCAGCATGGAAGACGAGTCCTGCCACTGGCCATCCGGCACCCTGAATGAAAGTATTCGACTCACAGCTTTGAAAGAACAATAAATATACACCACTAGGACAAAAGTTGTTCTTCTTGAGGCTTCCACATTGACAACCCGTTCCCCTTAGAATCCTGCAACACACTTATGGCACCTCAAGCGGTCGAATGTCCTCCCTCCAAAGCTCTTTAATGTTTCAATTTTCACGTGGGCGGCAATTGACCATCCCACACTGGCCATGCGAAATGGACTTCCTAATTCGACCGCAGCTGATCCACATAGATGTTGTAAGCACCGGAAAGAATAAAAAGGATCTTCGTCCTGAAGTATAGTGTAATTCATTGTTTATATATATATACAGTATGCATGTGTATGTATATATATATATATGTATATGTTTATATATGTCTTTTTTCTACGTGTGATTGTACGTCATACCTATCTACTGTTCCCTCACAAGCTGAAGCTTAGGGAAAATTGATCTCCCTATGCTCCCTGAATCTACAATTGCATATCAGGAAATCTCGCTAGACAAACTGTGACCGCCAATGAAGAAACAATAGAGGGATATCACTCCATCCATCTGTATTCAGTCACTTCCATCAGAAGTACTGAGTGAAGCAAAAAACGGTCAAAGTCGACAAAAGGCACGGCTTATCATCTCTGTCCAGGTCACCTACCACCGCCACGTTTGCTCGGTTGCCGGGGACATGTGGCTTGCGTTGGCTTTCGCAACCCAGGGGAGGACTGGCTCGCTGAAGGTCCAAAGCTTTTGAAGTTGGTGTGTTGTATGCTAGGAAGGTTACCACAACCTATGGCGATCAAAAGAGTAACCCGAAAGAAATAGAACAGTAGACCCCTCTCAAAATGGATTGGAAGCCACCTTTTGGGTGGGGGAGGCTAGAGAGTGAGGTATCTTATAAACTTATACACTACGTTATATAACTGTTATATAATGAAGTTCAGTTATTGTCAACCCTTCTCGCAACTGAAAAAGTAAACAATGCAATGTCAAACCGGCAAATACAACATTCCTCACATGGTCACTTGGTACTGCAACTGTTTGATCAATGGTTTGGGGAACAATTGCTAGCCATCAGACTTGTTGAGGAACTTGATTTGAGCCCCTTTCGACCACTGACTTGAGGTCGTTGTTGCAAAGTGCCAGAGGCTACTGGCCACTGCTCCAATGTCTCCAACATCGTGCTTGCCCTAATGAGATCATCGTGACCTTCAGCTCGGCCAATTTGCAGGACTTCTAACTGAAGGTCGGCCTGCCTGTCAGCCTGCCGGTCTCCAGAAAACGCTTCGCCTGCAGTTGCGCCAACACCAACGCTGAGTTGGCTCCCGCACTTTTCCGCGTCAAGTCGGTCTCCGCGCATTGCGGCATTTGCGGCGATCGCCACAGCATGGAACTTTAAATTGCTGGCACCAAGGGAGGCTGTTGCTGGCAAGTTTGGCGGCAGGACTCGGGACATGCACAGAACATGGACTGACCCTAAGTTCTTTGATGTGTTGTGGGGGAAGGGGGTATGTTTGACAAGTCACATGTATTCAGTGTGTGGGATCACCCTTTGCTTCGTGGCTGATGGACCCACAAACCAAGCAGCCAATCTATACAAATCATCCACACCAATTAAAGCCCTATACTGTATACTCTTGTTTTTTTGAAGCAAGTCGATTGATTGCTGTAATGTGCTGGATCAAGTGGTTGATTGGTTGTGGTCTATTGAGAAGAGGTTTGATTGGTTTGCTTGGCTCACTCAGTGATTGTTCGATTAACGGAGTGATTGGTTGATGCGCTGGCTGGGTTGGTTGATCTGTGTTCGTTTGACTGGTCGATTGAGCAGGTGTGTGCCCCCCAATTCCAACATAAAGGGGGCGGCACCGCAGCAACGTGCCTATTCAATAGCCTTCAGGGCTCGCAAGCGAGACCTACACTCGAAGCACCCAATAACAGCTTTCTAAGTCTAAGTACCAAAAGAACTCCTAAAAAGACATCCTCATGAGCCACCTGACCGTGTCTCCTTGGGCTGCAACGTTTGCGCAGCAGCCTAATCTCAATTTAAAGAGAATGTTGGACAAATACTGGAACCATTGTGCAATGAAATGTGTCTTGCGTCTCCTTATGCTTGGGCGCACCTGTCCAAACTTTATATAGAAAGTGTCCCCACATCACTGCTATCACAAGCCAAACCGTACCCGCATGGTTAATCCACTTCTCACGTTGGCTCTTACAAAGTTCTAATCAAACAAATCTCATGCACTGCAAACCTCGAACCGAATGAACCTCTTAAAACGAAGAAGGACTCCCAGAATTGGAAGATCGGGGGTCCAAGAAAATGATTTGCCATTCTAAATCCTTCGTCCACTAAGTCCCGTCCCTTTGTATCTTTATGCCACCACCTCCGCGCTCAGAACCTGAGACACCGAGAAGGGCGCGGACCAGGAGCCTGCCCACGGCCGCCACGGCCGCCACGGCCAAGGTCGTTTAGTAGCCATGGCCTCCAACCTACTAGTGATGGCCTCCAAAGCCAAGATTCAAACACTCAGAAACTAGAAACACGTAAAAACAGTAGACAATGCTCAAGCTTTGTGAACGACAAATCAAACCCATTGGGGGGAGCTTGCGACCGTTGAGGAGGAGATGTGTTCATGAAAGATCAGGTAGGTCCACGCCGACGGGTAGGCGAGGATTCTGACTCCGATTCCCCTTGCAAAGGAACGGGAGTCACCAGAAGACTTCTACCAAGTAAGGTTTGGCCTAGGATTTCCAGCACACCCCACCTCCAAATTCTCTAAGCCCAATGTAAATTAGTTGTCATATGAAGGTGTATGTATTTATGAAATTATGTATGAATTTATTCATGCAATGTATACAATGTATACTTGTCCCTGGTACGACAAGGAGAAAGCATGGTTTGGTCTACTCAACTAGTCCACTTTGGGTCCAGTGTCCTCCGCTCTGGGCACTCGGACGAGTTTGGCAGCGGAAGTGGGGCCGAAGGGACAAAACCTGACCCAAGTGCTGCAGCGATTAGATTGAGCAAATGTTAAGTTTTAATATGTATGTTATGCGAAATAATATGTTAAGTTTGACTACGAAAGCATGAATTTCTGAAGTGTTGAATTCATATGTGAATCTGCCACGCATTCTAGTGTGCACAAAAATCAAGGAACATCTCGAACAATGAACACAACAGCCTACTTTGGGATTGTGGCTTTTCAGGCTGAAGTCTTGACGCATACCCAAATGCATGTTCGACGTCGTGGGCCTTCTTTGCTTGGTCCAAGTCTTGTTGCTCCTCCACTTGCCTGCCGATTGAAAGCTTAGCAGTTAGGCGCTCACTCATTGCAGTTGTGAGGCAAGTGATACCTTGCCAAGACTTGGTGTATTCCGAATCCACATCGAGCTGTGCACACCAAATGTCTTAGTCCATGTCCTGATGTCCTGAATCAATCTCAGAATTCTGATGAATTCTGTCATGCGTTATCGGAAGGATTGCGGGGACATCCGAGGCTTCAGTCGACTATGGGGTTCAGTGGTCGCAACCAGCGCTGGCTCTTCAAGGAAAATTGAGTCAGGCTCCAAGTATAAAAGACCCATGGGTTGAAGGGTGGACGAACAGTCAAAGCAGCACTTTTTTGCAGTGGCCGGCAAAGCAGCACCTTGCTCACTCACAAACGTCGACACAGACAAGACATTAGAAGAAAAAGAAGCTCCCATGGTGACACCAGAAACAAGAAACCTTTTTTGTATCTCCAGCCTCGAGCTGCAACCCCTAGCCCTAAGCGATCTCCCAGCGGGTCGACCCAAAGACCTGCTCTCAGAGTGGAGGCCAATGAGCCGCGCCAACTGATGCACCACCTCTGGCGGAAAAGCAAGTGGGAGTGATGGAGTCCCAAGAATTTGGGTTGGATAAGTTCGTGAAACTGTGAGAACGCAGCTTCGCAATTTCGAGCACGCAACGGAGTCTCGGCCGTAGAAGCGTGGAGCGCCTTCCGTTCAGAGGCATCCAGGCCCTCCAAGTGCATCTCCCGGGCGGGAGGGGCACCAGCCTGAGTCAAAGAATCGATGCAGCGC